GGATGCTCCTCAGAGTGTGCCAGCAGCCTCAGCCTCATGGAGAGCTTGTCAGGGGGTATTTTACAAGGTCTCCAAAAGCCTTTTATGCCCTCCAGAGTGAAGAGCACAGCATTGGTGATGAAGTTTGGTGGCAAATATGCAAGGCACATATGGATATTTCCTTCTCATGGAGGCCTACGAGGCAGCCCCAGCCTCCTGATGCAGTGTTTATAGCATAGTCCACTGGGACCGCTGCTCTGACAAAGACTGTGTCACTACTTTGTGGAATGTTTTTTAGAACTTCCAGAAAGCCTCAGTAAATCCTGCCTGCCATGTGACTATGTACTGTGCTGCTGAGCTCTTAACATGAAGCAGCAGCAGTGACCCCGGCGGGCCAGGCTGACGTGTGTGAGAACAGTGGGAGTGACCCTGGCTGGGAAGCAGGGAGGCCTGGATATTGTTTCTCCTGGCTCTGTGTCCTGCTGCTCTCGTCCCTGTGCTCAGAGCTCTCAAGCACCCACAATGGCCCTCTCAGGCCGAGTGCGCCCCTGCGTTATCCCAGAGAATGAAGAAATCCCCCAAGCAGCCCTTAACAATGTCCACGAGGCCAATGAGACTGAGGACGAGAGAGCTGTTTCCAAACTGCAGCGCAGGCACAGTGACGTGAAAGTCTACAAGGAGTTCTGTGACTTTTATGCAAAATTGTGAGTGTCTCCTCTCCCGGAGTGCCCCTCTTCCAGGTCTGGCATTCTTGGCTCTCTATTCAGGAGCCATCCTGACCTGGCCCATGTAGTTTTATTGACTGGACTTTGGGCAGGAGTTTTCCCGGGTGGTAGGGCTCCGAGGGGCTTGCAGCGCAGCATGTTTAAGGAGACAGGAGGCTGCCTTGTTGTTAAGACTTCCAGCGACATGCAGATGGGTGGGAGGTGCTGCCCTCACTGTGAGAGCACAGTGGCCCTGTCTTCAGTAGGTTCCTGATCACTTGGTAGCTGCATTTTCATCATTTCATCCATGAGGGAGGCTTAGTGTTTTCATTATCAGGAATTACATTAGAAAAATTGTGTACTCCAAAACGTCCCAAAGATAAGGGGCAAATGAGTTGGAACAGTGAAAAAACAAATTACAGACTGTTGGTAAATATAAATTATTTTTGTGTGTAACAATCAACAAATTGGAGTAAGCTAATTGGTTTTCTTAATTGAATGAATAAATATATATATTGTATATAAGAAGCAAATCAATATACATATAGAACATACTGTTAACTCTGAAAAGTTAGGCTAATTGATACTATTAAATGGGTTTTAGCAAACACATTTTTTAAAGAAAATGCAGAGTAGCCATCAGACCAGCTCAAGATTATTTACCTCATTTAAAGTTGTGAGCTTAGAATTACTACATATCCCCAATTTGTCAAGTAAGAGTTAATGAGAATTTAACTGACCTGGTTCTCTGATTCCATAATTCATGCTCTGTGGTACAGATATCACTTATCTTCACAACTCACAGAGAGCTCTGTTTAACAGTAATTAGGGAATTGTAATAATACGGTAACCAATATTTTAACTGCTGGGTGAATTCTCAAGATGATTTTGGATTTATACATTGCTGCATTTTAGGACTTGAATAACAGAAAGCAAGATTTCAAGTGTGCTATGTGAGGGTGATTTGTGGAAGTGGATCAGCTTCATCAGCCATTCCTGGCCTGATATGAAGAAGCTGCCCTAAAGGCTTATACATATAAATATCTATCTATACTTGCCACTTACATATTTCTTGTTATCAACACTTTTTAATGAAAATATTTTTCTGAAAACTTAGCTAATTAATTATAACTAATCTGATGATAGCTGTAATTGTCACTAATGACTTTTTAAAAGTAATTTCTGTCATCTGTAATATTAAATATAAAATCAACATTTAAAAAAAAGGCATTGTGCCAGAGTGTCAACAGCAAAAGAGGAAAGGGAAACCTGACTGGTTCAGGGGACAGCAAGGTGACTGTTCTGTTTCCTTTTTTCCTCTGCTTATTATTAAAAGAAATACTTCTTGAAAAATACATGTATATTATCTCTAAAACTAGCACATTTTTCCTGTGTGTGGGAGATAACTGTGTGCTTTTTTTTATGATGTATCTACCTATTTCCTAATTCTACTTCAGTATTTGAACTTAAGTAGAAACAATCTATATTATGTGAGTTTAAACTGGACATTAATCAAACATTTTAATCTAAGAGCCTGTTAACACTCTTAAAAACAATTAAGGTCCCCAGAGAACTTTCATTTAACAGTATTTACTGTATCAGAATACTGGGAAACTGGAAATTTAAATTGGGAACAATTTAAAATACTTAATTCATTTAAAAACAATAAGCTTATTACATGTTAATAATAGTAAATGTTAATATTAATGTTTTCATGAGAAATAACTTTTCCAAAATGGAAGAGGCTTAGAGAAAGGATGGCATTATGTTACATTTTTGCAAATCTTATTAATATCTGTCTTAATAAAAGTTTCTCATATTTGTTTCTGCATTCAACCTATTACAGTATGTTATTTTAGATGAAATGTATGAAGAAAATATGGCCTCCCACAGAGATGTAGTTGGGAAAGAGGACGTTTCTGCCCCCTGGAGGGTCATGGTGACCCCGACATTTTGCAAACCACTGATTAGGTTATAATGAGCCAGGTCATTCTAGAATATTCTTTTGGGGCTTTTTTAGAATCCCATTAAGATTGTTGAGGTTTGTTTAATCTTTTGAGAGGGTTTAGAATTAAGAACAGTGCCATATATTTGAGCAGCATCTCTGGTTTCCAAGTGGGTATAAATACTTTTTCCTGAGAACAGTACTGAGAATGACTGGGCAGGTATGGGGCTTACCATGTTCCTCCATCCAAGAACACCTGTGTACTTTGGTCAGGAGGAGGAAGAAGCACAAAACTCTCCAGAGTTTTTTAAAACTGCCACAATCATCTGGCTTATGGCAAAGCTGGGTGACAACGAGAATTTTACAGATTTTTTCCCCCAACCCACAGTAACTTTGAAATGACAAAGTAGAAATTCATTTTAACATGAGGCTTAGGCCAGGTTTAACTGAGCAGTGAAGCTGCCTCCCTTTCTCCCTTCCTTCCTTTTTTTCAGTGGCATTTTAATTACATTCAAACCTGTTAAATAAAGTTGACTTGTCTGAAGTGATGAACATGGTGTGTCTACACGCGGTTATTTATGGCAAGGCTACAAAACAGGTTAACTGTTTTGTGAAACATTTGGGAGAGAAAGGCAAAAAGAAAGTTGTCTTCCAGAGGTGTGGAGGGGAGTGAAGCAAGTAATAGGGACCACTTTTGCTAAGGAAACAGCAAAACTTGGAAACCAATAGGGGCAAGGCAATTAGTTACCCTGCCTATACAATGGAGACTGTCCACCTGTGTGCCTCACTGGTTGATTGTGAAAATTCAGGAGAACGTTAGTAATAACTTCACAAAGTACACTGATTAAATACCTGAAAGGTCAGAAGCTGCACCAGGGAACTAGACACACAGGTAGAACTCATGCTGTGAGTAGGCCTGTGAAAATAAACTTGCCAGAAATCGAAGGACCGCTTGGCCGGTTACTGCTCTGCATGGAGGGGCCTTCTCCATTTCTAGGACTTCTAAGAAACAAAACAGTTCTTCATGTGAAATCCTCATTTAATTGTCTGTCAAAGCCATGCTGCTTTTTTTTTTTTTTTTTTTTTGAGGCGGAGTTTTGTTTTGTTTTGTTTTGTTGAGGTGGAATTCCATGCTTATTGCCTAAGCTGGAGTGCAATGGCGAAATCATGGCTCACTGCAACCCCCGCCTCCCAGGTTCAAGGGACTCTCCTGTCTCACCCTCCCAAATAGCTGGGACTACAGGCATGCGCCATCATACCCGGCTAATTTTGTATTTTTAGTAGAGATGAGGTTTCACCGTATTAGTCATGCTGATCTCAAACTTCTGACAAGTGATCCACCCGCCTTGGCCTCTCAAAGTGCCTGGATTACAGGTGTGGGCCACTACACCTAGCCGCCATGTTGCTTTTCTTCCAAATAGCACAATGGTTAGAGAGAGCCTGAGATTATTTATTGAATGCTTTCTGTGTTTTAAGGTATAGTGGGGCCACTGGTGGGGGAATTTCCCACGTTACCGGCCACAAACATAGCTTGACAGCCTGGTGTCACTTTCCTGATGTATAAAACGTGGTGGTATCCCTATCATGTCCTTTCAAGTGTTTGAAATTCATGCTGTAATCTGTTTTGATTGACAGTATGATTTTACGAGCAGGGGACCTGGATTTCTAGTCCTGTGTCTTCCTTTAACTAATTAGCTTTGTGCTGTTGGACTGATCCTTCCATCTCTGTGAACCTGTTTTGCTATCTATAAAATGATCTTTATTATGTAAAATTCTGTGATTTTAAGTTATATTTTATAATACTGGCAATCAGGTTCATCTTACCAATTAGGTAATAGGACTGGGGCATCTTGGCTGGTTTTAAGGCTACATAAGCAGTTGCTTTCCACAGAATCTAATCAAAGGAATAACCTATATCTAAGTTATATGACATAGCATTTAGTTGACATGCATTTTAGATTCTGTTCTCAGGAGGGAAAGAAATTGGTTTTGAGATATTGACTTGTGGATATTTTAATTAAGCTACTTATTAAGCTGTAAACCCAGGTTACTTGAGAGCAGCTCATAACTTTCACCTCTGTCTCAGATGCCTAACGCATAGTAGGCACACACTAATAGTTTATTTAGCAAAAAGAATGCCAAAAATGTTAGAATCAAAGTGGGACACCCTTAGAGAGCCTTAGATGCTAGGGTAAAGAGACTGAAGAGTCCTAGTTTTAGAGCGTATAAGGAACAAGCAAGAAATTGAGCTTTTTAAATAAAATAGGATTTTTGCAATCAGATAGAATTTGCTGCTGGGTTCTTAGTGTTGTTTTGGTCTTTGATCTAAGAGGAGGATGACAGTCTGCAACCTGCCATTCTTTGTGTTACAGCAACATGGCCAATGCCCTGGCCAGCGCCACTTGTGAGCGCTGCAGGGGCGGCTTTGCACCCGCTGAGAAGATCGTGAACAGTAACGGGGAGCTGTACCATGAGCAGTGTTTCGTGTGCGCTCAGTGCTTCCAGCAATTCCCAGAAGGACTCTTCTATGAGGTGAGTTGTGCTGGACAAAAGCAGGAAGGTGCCATTCCCCTGCCCTCCTGCCTCCTGCCCTTCTTTTCTGAGGCCTCCTCCATCATGTTCAGTTTTATGATGAAAGACTGAATTGAAGTGCCAGGTGCATGCCAGGTATTTGGTAGCTGTGAAGTCAGAGGTGGCATAAATATGGCTCATATGGACAGCAGCGTGGATGGCACGCCCTCACAGACCTTGCATTTGTATTGCTCAGTTCTTCGTCCTATTTCAGAACCCACAATCCCCTATAACAAAGCCTTTCAGACCTAAGCAGCTCAGCTCCACATACAAAATTCTTTCCAAGTCTTCACCCACACTCAGGCCCGCCCCAGCACCTCACCAATTCCTGTCTCTGTGTCTTTTCCCCTTCTCAGAGGCCCGTTAGACCTGTTGTAAAGGTAAAGGAGAGTGTGTGCCGTACGTCACCCCCTCCACAACTTCCCAGCCTCAAGCCAAGAGCATCCATGCATTTATTTTCTAAAGAAGAAAATGAGTATTTTAGGGAACTATACTGTCTCCGTTTAGCTCTTTTGGGTGTCTGTGTTCATTTCCAAATACTTGTTTTTCTTGATCTCAGGTGTTACCATATAGTTCTGCACTTCCTTTGTACTGTAGTTGGTATTCTCAACATTACGGAAACCCTTTCTCTTTGTTTTGTATTGTTTTGTTTTGTTTGAGACAAAGTCTCATTGTATTGCCTAGGCTGGAGTGCAGTGGCTTGATTATAGCTAAGTGCAGCCTTGAACTCATAGGCTCAAGTTATCCTCCAGCTTCAGCCTCCTAAGTAGTTGGGACTATAGGCACATGCCACCATGCTCGACTAATTTTATTTTTTTATAGAAGTGGAGTCTCCCTATGTTGCCCAGGCTGGTCTCAAACCCCTGGGCTCAGGTGATCCTCGGCTTCCCAAAGTGCTACAATTACAGGCATGAACCACCATGTCCAGCCTACTGAAACCTTTTTCTCACATTAAACATGTATTTTGGGGGATAGTCTAGGGATGCTGACCCAGCTATAAATGAAGGTGAGAGCGAGGTATATGTGTGTGTTAGATCAACTAGGTAATTTACTTTTACCACCTTACTTCTTACATATTTGTACATATATACACATCTATATATGATAACATATGTATGTAGAATTATTTTATAGCTGGAGATGGCTGCTGTTTGATTTCTTCTTTTGCCTAGCAGAGTTTTAAATTTTCCTGTTATATAAACCATGCTTGAGGAAGGAAAGGTGGTTTACAAAGATCATTGGTAAGTCCATCGTTTGCCACTCAGGCAGCATTTTCCCATAAAAACAAACATCATGAGAGTGGGGTTCCCAGGCCAGCCCACAGAAAAGCTGCTTACCCCATCCTGGGTACATGAAATACAGAACTAAATTATGTAATAGTGTCACTCTGGGAAACAGCTTTAAGGGTTTAGGTTAGGGAATGCTATTTTATTCACTAGTACACATTTTTTAAGCTCCTATTGTGTCCCCAAAACATGCATTCCTGACAACAAAAACCTTAGCAGTGGAAAGAGGTCTTCGTTTTCTCTTTTCTTCTAGTTCTTTTTTTTTTGTTTCCTTAGGCCTCCAAACATGGTCTATATATCTTCTTCCAGTTCTTTCTGTTCTTCCTGACTCCTTCCCTGGGTAGTGAGAATCTTTTGGACAAGGATGATGGATTTAGGGATGGGCAAATGACAGTTGTGAGGATGGACAGGAGCAGGAAAGGCCAGTGTCCAACAGCAAAAGAGAAGAGGGCGGGAGAGGAGCTCCGGAGGTATGAATGGAGGCATCAGGCATAGAGACTCCTACTGAGGCTATAGGTGGACTGTGATTAACTGGTGAGGAGAAGTAAAAGGAAATCCCTAGGTGCTGAGGCAGCAAAAAGAGACAGGGTGTTTGCTGGTGGTAGTGGTAGTGGTGGTAAGCCATGACTCAATTCAGGTAAAGGGACCTGAGGACCTACTTCCTACTTCTACCTCGGCACCATGGAGGCCTGCCAGGACTGTGGCAAGGAAGGAGATGAGACTCCCAAGGCACATTGAAGGGAATCCTGGAAAGCTGGCTTGGAGGGAGCATTGATCTTCTCACTATATGAATCCCTTCTTTATCCCTCCCTTTTTCTTTCTCTCCTGTGGTCCAGAGAAGTTGAAATGTCTGATAACACAGCAGGTTTGCAACATGAAAGAGATTAGAACCTAGCTGGTCTCCTAATACTCAATACAGTATTCTTTCCCTTACATGTTCTTTTTAAACATAAGATTTTTATTGAAATGGGCAATTATGACAAAGGCCTTAGGAGAGGTCAGTCCAGGGGAGCAATAGAGAAGAACTCGGAGAAGAAGACTCTTGTTTTCTCAAGCATTTCCCTTATTTCCCTGGTCTGCTGTTTCCCCTGAGAGCACCCTGGAGCTCCAACCCTCCATCACCTTCTTTCTTCCATTTTGCCTGAGACTTAGGAATGAACATGATGGTTAAGCTACCGTCATTAAGCAGTACGACCGCTTCCTGAGCATATGCTGCTGCATTTGGGCCTTGTCAGCTTCGAGGCCACTGGTGCTGAGTCAGAGGGAAAGGCTCAGAACAGCCTTGAGCAGCGAAGAATAAAGTATGACTCATCTCATCCTGCCTACCCCTCACACTGGACTATAAATACCCTCCCTGGGTGCTGTTATTCCAAAAGATGTGATGAATACCCAGAACTAGGCTATTCATGGGCTTAAGCTCTGTTGGGTCCTGAGGAAGATTACTATTTTGGCTACATTGTTTATCTTTAAAACCAGCCCAGGGATGTGTAAACCTGCATGTGGAGAATAGGAAATTTCTTTTTGGTTAAATGATATTAGAGAAAAAAACTATCCAAGGCTGCTGACAAATAATCTGCATTTTCAGCTATATCCAACAATACGTTGTTTTCTACAAAAGGAAGATTAGAAACTTACCTAGTTTACCTTCCATTTGGCACATGGCCGATGTGCTCCAGTCTTTGTATAATAACAAATGCATCTTCGCCACTCTATATCTTTGTTATTACTTTTGTCTCGTTATCAAAACAACTTCTTTCCCTGATTTCCACAGCCTCTATTTTTTCTTTTCTCTAGAAGACCTAGTTATGAAGACTTATAGGTAGGTTTTGTGCACTCACTTCCCCTTAAAATGTGATTTACTTTATGGTAGAACTTCTTGTACTTTGAATTAAATGGGACATTCTTCCCTCTGGCCACAGAGGCCAGTCTAGAATGAAACCCTTGTTTCCTAACCACTGAAACCAGAACATACATCTGATGATATGAGCACCAGTATTTCTGGCTCAACTACAATTTCTCTCTGTATTTTTTTTTTTTTTTTTAAGACGGGGTCTGGTCCTGTTACCCAGGATGGAGTACAGTGGCACATTCATGGCTTACTGCAGCCTTGACCTCCTGGGCTCAAGCAATCCTCCCACCTCAGCCTCCTTAGTAGCTGGACTGCAGGTGCACACCACCACAGCCAGCTAATTTTTTTTTTTTTTTTTTTTTTTTTTTTTTCAGAGACAGGGTCTTGTCATGTTGCCCAGGCTGGTCTCAAACTCCTGAGCTCAAGTGATTAGATGTCATTTCCTCAAGGAAATACCCTTTCAACTCAGAGGCCCTAACATTAATTATAGTGGTTTCTAAATCTAACTTTGTGACATCCAGCTTATCTCCAGTAAAAGGAGTATCTTAATTTTCCTGTAAGAAAACACTTTTAGAAGTGAAGTAGAGCCAACAGTTAAGAGTGATTTAAGTCCAGGAAGTATTGCAGAGTGGGATGAACTGAACCAAGGACTAGGGATCTGGTGTGCAGCTGATCAACCCTGATTTAGTATATGCGTAGGGCTGGGTTCTTTGTTGGTGCCTCACATTTCTCTCTCCTTCTTAGTTTTGGTTTCGCAAATGTATCCCTTTTTTCCCCATCACAAAATGAATTAAGAGGAAAGACCCATTTGTGATGAGTAATTTTGTAGCAAGATGTCTTACAAGGAGGTTTGTTTTGTTTTTGAGATAGAGTCTCACTCTGTCCCCCAGGCAGGAATGCAGTGGTTTGGTCTGGCTTACTGCAACCTCCACTTCCTGAGTTCAAGCAATTCTCTGCCTCAGCCTTCAGAATAGCTGGGATTACAGGTGCCCGCCACCATGCCTGGCTAATTTTTGTATTTTTAGTAGAGACAAAGTTTCACCATCTTGGCTAGGCTGGTCTTGAACTCCTGACCTGGTGATTTACCCACCTCAGCTTCCCAGTGCTGGACTTACAGGTGTGAGCCACTGTGCCCGGCCAACAAAGAGGTTTTTTCACTCATTTCCTCTGATTATTCAGGAAGGCAGAAATTGAGAATGGAAGATACTTCCAACCAGTGCATCTGCTTATCTATGGGTCCACTCTCTTCAGGTCAGTTTATGACAAACCGGTATAAAGAACCAAATGAAGATTTGCAACTTTGCACTTAACTGGAAATGAGACTTTGACCTGAGCCTCCTGTTCTGATCTTACTTGAAAGCAGCTCTGAATAATTCTGTTTTTTCCCCCTACAGGGAATATTTACAGAACTCTAAAACTTAAAACACTTAAAAACAAAGACATTCTTGGAGTTCATCTTCTTCCGCACAGAATGACCCATTTCCACAGATGGTGGAACCCCCGAGTTTTTAAGGCATTTTGTTTATAAATACTACTAATTTGGACCATGGTATTTCTAATAGGCTTATTGTATTCCTTGTTTAAATTAGTTCTGGGATGTAATGTGTAGTTACCTAGAAAGAATTGATTCTTCTCAATTTATGATTTTTGATTTTTAAAAAATTTTATATCCTAGAGTTTTACTTTGGATCAACTTCTGGCCTTTCTCTCAGGCTCAAAAGTTGAGCTATACTATGTTGGATCATTTCTACACATTGTAGAAAAGAGGCAGCTTGTTATAGAAGAAGAAGTTTTCCACCTGGAATTAACAGTAGTCCACATTATAA